GGAATATTTAGAATAGATAAGGTAAAGTTTTGTGTGAATCCCCCATGTTATGCTTTAATAGCTGATTGTCCTTTTTTACTTTTTATTTTCCTTATAGAAAATCCATATATTTTCATGAAAATAGGATGTTAAGTTTATTAAGGTTAATAGTCCAGCAGGTGGTGGTAGTAATAACCACAAAAACCGGTTTTGGGTTTATGGGCAAGTTGTATTAATCATTAACTTTATAATAAATCTTATAAGACATGAGAACATACAGTGTCTGTGATAAAATAATGAAATCGTCTTGTGATTGTATAACCACAAAAATGATTAATTTATAATTTACTATAAATAAACGCAACCTGGTATGTTTGATTGCCAGAGTGCCTGAAAAGAAACTCTGGTCACGACTCTTCCTTCCCTCACCTCATCACACCTCCTTCTCGGGTCCCCGTGAACCCCCCGCAGCTGGCCTCCGGCACAAGGTAGCATAGGTTAGTTCAAGATGGGACCAAAATGTATGGCTGAGGAGTTTTTATTTATTGATGCAAACATAAATTAACACCACTAATAGCACAAAAGACATTAAAGACATAGACATTCTCAAAGGAGTAAAGATTTCCTGATGGAAATGTAAAAACAAACAATATTAAGGATACTGCTAACCACTTAGAAATAAAATGGGATTGTGTGAATGACAAAGAGATATATAATCACCTTGATTATTAATATTATAAATCATCTTGATTCTTTAAGCATGATATCCTTAAGGATATAACTTACAATATGTTCTTCTTTAAAAACAGCAAGTGCCTACTGTGTCTTAATAACTTTTCTAGATTAATGAAGAAATCAACAAAAGAAACCTATTTCTTGTTATGAAGGGAGATAGTAAAGAAGTTAAAATATAAAATTCAAAGTGATACATTGTGGTAAATATTTCAGAGAAAAATACAGCAGAAAGGAGAAATAAGGGAAGTATCTTGAACATATGTGAATTTTAAGTATGGTGGTCAGAAAAGATATAGTATAAAAGATCATATTTGGGCAGACAGCTATCAGGGTAGAATCTAAGGCAGGTGATTAAGGAAATAGCTTTTTAGGAAGATATAATTAATTCAAAAATTTCAAACTAAAGTTATTATTTCCCCAAATCATACTTGCCTTTCATTCTCTATTATGAAGGCTCTGATATGAAAGAGAATGAGTAAGAGTAGAGAAAGTTAAAGTGAGACCTAGATGTTGAAAGCGACTTATTTATGAAAAGTATGGAAACATGCTCTACTGCCTTAGCCCAGGGCCCGGGCAACACCTCCACCTTCTACTGCATGGTTCTGAAGTTAAGAAGAGGAGAGAATGTTCTGGACATTGACCTCCCAAGAAACAATGTCTTCTGGCATCTACTCATCTCTCACTTCCCTTCTCCCAGAGTTCCCTGGGCCTACCCCTCCTCCATTTGACTGGCTCTGTGCACTGATGCTGGAGTCAGAAGACTTTGGGGGCTTGTGGCTGCTCAAAGTGTACACCTCACCCTACCCATACTCAGCCCCATGAACCTAGGCACTGCCCAGCCTGTTCTCCTTCCCACAGGGACAGTTTCTGCTGAGTTCCTGCCCTCTGTCCTACCCAATGATGTCCAGTGACATCTCCAGTCCTATCCCTGGATGGCCTAACTCAAGGAAAATCCTGGATCTCCGAGGCAAAGGAATATTAGCTTGTAGTTGCTAAACTTCTCTCAGCAATAAAGGGACACCCTGAAATCTAGGGCTTCTTCCTTCCTTTCATTCTGTCTTCCTGGCAGTTCCTGCTGCTCTTTGGAGCCTTGCTCTGTCTCTCACTCAGCTAAGACTCATGCTGGGCTCAATGGTCTCTGTGTAGCCAAGGTCATTCTCCAAAGACTCGTGCCTCCTCAAGGTCTGAGTTGCTTTTCCAGACTTGGTTTTCTATGACTTCTTGAAGCATATCTGGAGCCAATGGTAACTAGAGGATTTTCTCAAGGGTCCACAGTGGCATCTTAGTCCAGCTCATAAGCAATGGAATAAATGAATCTAAACATAACTCTGAAATCATTACCTTCTCAAGTAGAAATAAGCTTCAGTTTACCTGAGTACACGTCTTATACTACCCAGGCCAGATGGTCCCTCAGCTGGGGATTCCTGGCATTTCTCTTCTGTACCCCTTGAGCTAGGTTGGGAAGAATCAGGAGATACAGGAGAGAAACCTGTGCCCTGCTATTGGCCCTTGGAAGACTTGATCTGGAGCTTGAGGAGCAGGAGAAATCTTCATTCTGGATTGGAGGCTAATAGTGTTCTTAGATTAAATTCCTACATTAAATTACAAAAATAAATCAGTAAATAATATAAAGCACTTCCTACATGACAAAATGTAATTAACAGACTTCAGGCAAAATATTTAAAAGTTCTCAAAAATGTTTTCTAAAATCATTACATGATGCAACCCTATACCTTTTTATAAGTTAAAGTTAACATTTCTTGATATGCCAACATTTTGATATAAATTCATTACATGGGGATGCTCAAGTTGTAAGATCAGTGGCTGTTGATGAGATGGTGTTTGTACAGGATTGTTTATAGAGATTAACCAAGGTGTTAATTCAATTCCTTGGAATAAACTTAATCATGTATATTAACACCTACCTAAGAACCCCTGAAATACAATCACTTGGAAGAAATGGGTGTGGTCTTCGAGAGTCATATAAGGATACTCTAGGATCCAAGCTCATTCTTCTCTAGAACTCACAGTGTTGCTTTCCACTGGCTGTGAAGACTTCTGAACACTACCACCACCACACTGTGAAGCTGTGATCCCTGAGCTGACCTCATCTTATTACTTGTTCAGCAAGCATCAGTGAGGACATAGACCTATTCTTTAGGTGAGTACACATTTTACAGAAAATAAACTCCTCCTACTGTTACAAACCAAAACAAAACAAAAAATCTGGATTTTATGTTTTATGCACATTGGAGTTTTTTTTAAATGAAGTGATTTCATATGCTGAGTTGTAAAAATGACGTTTCTTTGGAACTAATTTTATAACTGACTTTCATCTATTACTTTGTATTTTTTTGTTTTTTGGTATGATATAGAAGTTGTTTCCAGATCTGCTGTAATTTTTTTTACTTACAAGTAGATTTATTGACTTGCAGATTTTATACGTGGTTTAGGAGCATTTTATTCTATTTGTAAAAATATATGATAGTCAACTCTGAAAGTGGTAAAGTGTGTATATTAGATAAAATATTTGGCTATACATGAGAAGATAGTGCATTGAACGATTTGGGCAAAATTTGTTTTTGAGTAAATGCCTCTTCAACGCCTCTACTAACTCTTAAAGTTAAAGATAGTAGAAAATGAATGGTCCTGCAGAAAAATCTCACTGGAAAACCTGCAGAAATGTCAGAAATAGGATAGTATACTTAAACTGTGTAGAAAGGACTCAGTTTCTCTAATAAAAGTATTTTAGAACCTTGATTATTGTCTAATGCTGATTATTATTACATGTTACATCTTTTTACCATGTGAATGCGGACTAGGTAATAGCTTAGAAAACACTGCTATGCTTTATTCCTTTTTTGAATTAAGTAGTGCAATTATTAAGGATAGAAAGGTAAATATAAAACCTTGGTACTCTTTTCCCGAGGTATATGTGGGGATTGTTTACAGGATACTTTCCCCATGTACCAAAGCAGTGTGCCCTGCAGAATTGAGTACATGAAAAGCCCACCCTCAGGATTCACACCCCATGGATACAGTATTTAGATTCATTTTTGATGTAAAAAAAAATCCCTATAAGTGAACCGTGGCATCTGAAACCCGTGTAGTTCAAGGGTTATTTGCATGTTTCTGTAAAATAGCTCGATTTGAAATTTGCTTTAATTTTACAAAGCTTAGTTATTTTGACACTTGTGATTTTTAGAAATTGATTTGGCAGGAAGATGGCACTGGAGTCGCGTATCACCCGGGAGGCGATCAAGAAGGAGCTGCAGAAGCCGGTCGACCGTGAGAAGACGTGCCCGTTGCTGCTGCGAGTCTTCACCACCACCGACCGACGCCACCACCGTATGGACGAGTTCTCCCGCGGAAACGTGCCGTCCAGCAAGCTGCAGGTCTACACCTGGATGGATGCGACCTTGAAAGAACTGAGTAGTTTAGTGAAAGAAGTCTACCCAGAAGCTAGAAAGAAGGGCACACACTTCAATTTTGCCATCGTTTTCACAGATGTTAAAAGACCTGGCTACCGAATTAAGGAGATTGGCAGCACCTTGTCTGGCAGAAAGGGGTCTGATGACGCCATCACCCTGCAGTCCCAGAAGTCTCAAATAGATTATTTGGACATAGCTATTACCCCTCCAAACTGGGCACCACATCCCCTGGGGCGCATAGGACCATATTAAATTATATTTACTATTTCTTGAATTTATTTTTTGGTCAGTGATGTGAAATAAACTTACGTAACCTCCCCGTTATTGCCATTAAGCCTTTAAATTCTAAGCAAATTATAATGCATCTATTTAGGCATTAGCCTTGGATGTGCTGTGGTGTGATCACTAATAGAAAGTCTGTATGTTTGCATTCTGTGTGCAGCTGTATTGTTAAATGCATGTGTCATGAAAAATTGATTTCAGATGGTGGGTTGTTTGAGATATCAATGGAGAAGTCTGACTTTTACTATGCTTGTAGTTGCACATTTTCATGCATTTTTATCAATAGGTTACAACCAAAGCAATTTCTGGATCATGAGTGACAGATGGAAGGCATACAGAGAAGTGGTATGTACACATCTTCAGTTTACCAATTTTTAAAATTCTCATTATCTCTCTCCTCTTTTTTTTTTTTTTTTTGGAGTTGGAGTCTCACTCTGTCACCCATGCTGGAGTGCAGTGGCGCATCCACGGCCACTGCAGCCTAGACCTATTGGACTTAGGTGATCCTTCTGCCTCAGCCTTCCAAGTAGCTGGAATTACAGGCCTGTGCCACCACACCAGCTAAAGTTTTTTTTGATTTATTGTAGAGATGAGGTCTCGCAAAGTTGTCCAGGCTAGTCTTGAACCCATAGGCTCAGGCAATCCTCTTACTTTGGCCTCCCAAAGTTCTAGGATTGTAGGTGTGAGCCACCACGCCCAGCCTCATTATCTCTCTCATAAAGATGTTATATTAATGAGTAAATCCCAAAATTGACAAAGAGTCCCTGGAATAGTAAACCTAGTAGAGTATATTGCTGATTGAATTAACATAACGGCTTAGAAAACAATGCTCAATTTGTTGAGCATTGGAGAGCAAGGCTAGCTCCTTTTGATTGTGGTAAAAGGTATGAGTTCTGCTTCAACACTTATAAGCAGGTTGCTTTTGGAGAAGTCATGATAGGATGATTGCTAGAATTACACGAAATAATGAAGGTAGAAGAGCTTAGTTGCTGCCCTTCCCTAAACCAATCACTCAGAAGTAAACGTGTGGTTGATTTTCAGATCAGTCAGTTCTGACCTCTTGAATCTATAGTTTGGTAAAAACACTGAAGTCCAAGCATTCTGGGGAACACTAACACCTAAAAAAAAAAACCCAACAAAAAACAAACAAACAAAAAACCTCACATCCTTTTGTACAGGAAAAAAGAGTTTGGGGAGGTGAGCCTGTATTGATTAGACAACCAACACATTTTTATACAGGACTTGATCTCCCTTTGTACCTCAGGTTTCCATTTCTGTCATTTGCAAAGTATAGTCCATCCTCCTCTAGACAAATGAATATTATTGAATCACAACCTGATTCAAACTTTGCTTTGATCTTTTTCTCTCTGGGGTAGAAAATGAAATTATTCTGGTTTTCTCCCCTCCAAAAAAAAAAAAAGACTCAGACATCCTACTTTCCTTCCAGAAATAATAACTCACCTGCCTCATCTGTCTGACCTACCTGGTAGACCCAGTCACCATGAATTCTATAAATTAGAGGGTATAGAATTAGGAACTGAAAGCAATTCATAATGTTGAATACAATGATGTCCAGGGTGAAAAAAGTGGGGTGTGAACAGTGATTTAAAAAATGTGCCTGCAGCCGGGCTTGGTGGCTCAGCCTGTAATCCCGCGCCTTTGGGAGGCTGAGGTGAGTGGATTGCCTGAGCCCGCGGGTTCGAGACCCGCCTGGGCAGGCGAGACCTCATCTCTACAATAAATCAAAAAATCAGCCGGGCGTGGTAGTGCATGCCTGTAATTCCGGCTACTTGGAAGGCTGAGGTGGAAGGATCGCCGGAGCCCAGCAGGTCGAGGCTGCGGTGGCTGGGAGCGGCCACTGCACTCCAGTCTGGGCGACAGAGTGAGACTCCAACTCAAAAAAAAAAAAAAGGTAGGGTAGAGAGAAAATATGTTGTGAAGGGCACAGGGGCAGGGTGGCAGCAGGAGTGTCTGCTGTCTGCGAGTGGGTGAAATTTAATTTGAGGAAAAGAAGCAAAGAAAAAAGACCAAGGGGAATGAGAGAATGAATAGATAAATACTGGGTGGAGATGAATAATGGATGAGGATTAATGTTCTTAGAATGGTGGAGCAGTAGAGAGTCTGTGATTAGATAGCAGGAAACTAGAAATCAGAAGGATAGAAGTCATTCTGAGGGCTTGGAGTTAAACATTTTCTAAGATCATTTTGTTTGATAGCTTCCATCCTGAATACAATGTATGTACATTTCTCCTAAATCTTTAGGCTGTGAAGCGAGGAGATTTGAGACAAGAGACTAATTCAGTATCAGATATCATAAATGTTACATATAATGTTTTATAATAATAGATTTGAATTGTTTTCAGGTAATATTTCAGATTTGAGAGGATATGTATTTAAAAAATTAAATCTGAAAGACTTTTCTTCAGATGTTCAAGAATGTGTGGATCAGATGAATACTGAGGATAGGGTTTGCTTAGTTCTTATTGTTCATAAAGAATGGGAAATAAATGAAGGAAAGCAGGATGAATTTGTGAACTCTAAGATGCGCAAGGACATGCAGTATGATGTACATAGCTGATGGGTAGAGGACGTGAGTCAGAGCAGTGGATGAAGTTAATGTGTTAGAGTAGGGAGTTGGCCTGGGCATTGACCTAGAATTCCATGTTCCTGTTGTGCTTCATGTTTCTACGGGCAGAGATGATCAGGGATGTGTATAAGAAGCTGCATCCCATTCTCCACAAGGAAGAAAAATAACATTTAGAGAGAATAAAAAAACACCATGATATGTAAAGCCAAAATGAAGCAAAAGAGGAAACACCTTAAAGAAATGTCTGAAAAACTGATGGAAATAAGTCACAAAACAGACATGGAGCTGCTCCAGGTAGGGACAGAGGACAAACTTTAATGGTTTGTACTGCTCACATTCACATCTTGGCCCTCCATTATCTATTTCATACCAATGACACTCTTTATCATCTCCTGCACCAGTGATGGAAAATGTTTTCACCTGGAAGGAGTAGAGACTAAACAGTAACTCCTAATTTATTTGTAAATGCAAGGTTGTATGGAACTGTGATGTAAGTTTGTAGGAACTATTTATTTCTAAATTTCTCTTCACCCATTTCATTTATCTAAAAACAAAGATAGCGACTTATTCATGGAAATTCAATTTTTGTTTCCATTGAGCAGTAAGTAGAAATTTGGGAAATACTAATGTTTACTTTTTCATCATGTTTAGAGTTCAAGCTCTGAAAGGCCCTTGATTTGAGACATATTGGCCACCTTTGGGGAGAAGTCCTGAGAAAGATCCCCTTGTAGACCGCTGGTGGTTTTCAGTAATGCACAGTCACTACCCACTTCTTTCTCTTGATTCACTGTCATGATTGTGAATTTATTAAAAATTTCGTTCATGTTAATGTTTTTCTGAGGGCTAAAAGGACAAATACAGACATGATTGAGGTGATGGTATTTGATACCTTTCTAAACCAGAGACTGAATGGGAGAATAGAAAACCTCTAAAAGTCTAAGCTTTTCTTTCTTTCTTTTTTATTCTTTACAGATCTTTTGAGTCATGCTGACAAGGTACATTTGTCTCCAAATGCAACCTGGGGAACCCTTGGTCTATGCAAATGATCTAGCTGTCTTGAACAAAATGGAAACAATATATCATTTTGTTAAATCATTGGTGCAAGTGTGTGTGTGTGTGCACTAATGTTGTTGTGTGCTGTGTTGACTATATTTTCTTATGCTCCTTCATCAGAAATCAGTGAGTTTTTTGTTTTACTTTATTTTATTTTTCCTGTGTAGCTCAGGGGGTTACATGTTGAAAAACTAAATGCAGAAGCTGCTAGACAATGGTTGCCTATGTTTTAGGATTCAGAATCATAAACATTAGAGATAAATAAAGTACTTGTGGCACACAGTAGGTGAAAGGCAAGGACCTTTCAGAGGCAGGTGGAAACAGAAGCCTAGTGGGAAAGACTTCCTATGAGTGCCATATCCCTGTCCCAGGATTGTGGAGGTGTGCTACACTTCAGAAAAGGGTTTTGATGAAGCATTTTCAGTTGGTGTCTGTCATTTCTTAAATGCAGACACCAGAAAGGATGTATTTCTCCTTTTATATGTGAAGGAGGGTAATCATTACAGTCTCTTGACCACCCCCCCCCATTGGGTCCTCACTAAGTAGAGAAACCTCTGGGCCGGATTGGTATGTTTCTTGATTTTGAGAATCGAAGTGTGTGTTTTTTGAATGTTGCCAAAAGTTTCCTCATATGGAGGTATCCCGCTGGTTCCTTGAACTCCCTGATTAGGCCATTCTCTTACACTAGACACAGATGATCAGGGATAAACCAGGAAACTGCCTGTATGTCTGGGGTCTCCACATATGACAGAGCTCATCTCAGTTAAAGCAAAGCAATATCTTACTGTCTTTTAAGTTTTTTCTACTTTATCATAACTTCATTTTATTGCTATTAAATAAGATACATTGTGAAATGAACACATTTTTATTTTATTTTAATTATAATCATCTGTTGTATTGTGGGTTTCATCTGTTTTATGAGTTTACTCAATGGATTCTGAAAACTTGTGGTGTGTTATTCCACCTTAATGGTCTAATACAGGAATACAGTTTACCTATCATGAACAGACTTGGTTTTCTATAGTGCACATGTCAGGCTGAGATAGTCCCCTCCTGGTGATTTATTAAATCCTACACATCTATTCATCTTTAGGGGAAAGACTATTAAACACAGAAGTCTTCACCGATTCCAGAACCAGAATAAACTTTTTTTTTACAGTCATGTGTTATATATGGACAGGGATATGTTCGGAAAAATGCTTTCATTATTGGGTGATTTCGTCATTGTGTGATCATTGTAGAGTATGCTTCCCCAAACCAAGATGGTATAGCTGTCTACAAACGTAGGTTACATGTTGTAGCCTTTTGCTCTTAGGTTACAAACTGGTACAGCAAGTTACTCTAGTGAATACTGTAGTGAATTGTAACACAATGGTGTCTGTGCATCTAAACACATTCAAATATAGAAAAGATATAATAAAATTAGGGTACTATAATCTTATGGGACAACCATCATATATGTGGTGCATAATTGTATATGAACTAAGAATAGCTGGTTTCTTTTT